AATTCTTTGAGTGACGTAAGCACCGAAATCGGTGGCCTAGCAGAGCCAGTGGAGAGCAATGCACCTTGAGTACCCTGCGTGGTGGAGAATTATGTGCGCTATAAAAATAACCAATACTAATATTTTCATGATATTTTTTTGTTTTTATATCTGACTGATATATTACTGATAATACAGTACACACTATGATACACACTGTGATACCCATTATGTACCCACAGATAACGTTTTTCTATTTCCTATGAATAAATTATCATCTTGTAAAATGAGAAAATCACATTGACAAGATGGGGCTGAGGCCATAGATAAAACAAACTACCAGCACAAAATACATCCTTACAAAATCAATCAATGCAAACTCTCTCTTTTTTTCTCTCTTCTCCGAATCAGGAATAAAGTACATATAAACATAAGCACAGGTAAATTCACTACCATGACCAAGCAATACCACTACTTTTCCTATAAACAAACGTCAATAGTAAAGACTAATTCTACCATTCACGAATATTCAAAACTTCCAGCACCAGATATACGCTTATAAAATCAATAAGTGCACAACTCTCTTTTCTTTCTTTCTCCAAATCAGGAATAAAGTACATAAGCACAGGTACATGACGAAGCAAAACTATACTACTATTCCTATAAACAAACGTAAAAAAGTTATACCATTCACGAATTGTTTACCTTTTTGGAAGCCCCTAAGACCATCTGTGCATCCACTTCACACGTTTCGTTGCTATCCACACGAATAAATGCGTAAAATTAAAACGGGTGATGCAACTGAAAATACGTCAACAAAATAATAGAGACAGAATGTGTGGGCGGTAAAAAAACACCGGTTCGATGCCATACCACGAGGTACTTCGGATAATTCAATCCTCTCTTCGCGCCGGCGACCAAAACAATGACAGACGATTATGGGAGAGGATGCGTCTCATCCATAATATATACATGGAATCATAACGCAATAATTAAACGGCCATGCCCCCGCCACGTGGAGAGTTCCGTCGATTGTTTCCCTTGGGGAGAGTGGGTGAGAGAGAGGGAGAGAGAGAGGGTGAGAGAGGGAAAGAGACAGGGGAAGTCAACGATCGTGGTTACTATGCTGGAGTGAACTTTTCCCCCCTGCAAGGTCGAATTTGTTTGGGGGTATAGTAAGTGTGCATGTGCCAGTTCCATTCATAAAAACCTCGACCAATCAGACGGGCGCGAACATTCGTTAATCGATTTCCCGCCAATTTATTCTCCCACACTCCCAATCACCTCCGTCATGGTTTTGTAGACATTTGGAGTCACTCCAGCGGAACAAACGAAGAAATAAGACATAACGAGGATGGGTGGGAAAGAGAAAGAGAAAGAAGGAAGAGGGAGAGAAAACCACAGACATAAATAAAAGCGATGTTTGATCTAAAATGAACCGGGGGAAAAATCGAGAAGAAAATATTGGAAAGAATGGAGGAGAACAAAGGCTGGAATGCACCGCGCATCATGTGACTGCCATGCATAGTAATTAACCCGTTGAGTCTGGTTCACCTTCGTCTGACCGGGACAAACGTAAATATTGGAGGACAATGCATCGGAGAACTTCTGGCCCTGCATGTGGTGGAATACCGCTGCGTCATTCACCTGGCACGGTTGTACTGCTCTCTGTTTTATATGCAAGTCGAGTGTTAATTGCGCGCGCGAACCCACCGGCGATTATCGAAAAATCGATTATCGTCTCAAGGCATGATTCCATTGTCTGTATCCACAACACAGTCGGGAGAAAATTATAAACCAGACGAACCACATCAAAAAGAGAGAGAGAGAAAATATGTCCACGAGCCAAGTTTGTACATCAAAGTGTAAATCAACTCCACAGCTTGGTCTAACACACAACAACATCAACAACAACAACAACAACAATTTATTCAGTAAGTTGGACGTGATCATGAACGAATAAACTTGATCATGAGTTTTAAGGAGGTAATTTGTGAAGAAAATCCATGAACTACATAACCTAATTAATGAATACCAAATCAAATCATTCAAATGGACACATTCTACACCGATGGTTGTTGTAAAGCTGAAAATTGTATGGACATAGAACCCATTCTTATTTTCAGTTGAGATTGAAAATACAGTATAAAATGTCCAATGCTAATGAAGGAAATCAAATGCTGATGCACAGAAGCAAAAGAAAGTTGAAGTCATGTACTTATTCTCAATCATAGTCTAACGAATTGACAAAACTTGCACTTAGAAATAAGAAGAAAAAAATCGGGAAAAGTATATTGCCCCAATGACCCCGATATCAACCCGCCACCAAAACATTGGGGCATAACAATGCAAAATGGCGCCAAGGAATGAGATGAAATTCAACGCATACCTTTCAGACTTGGGTTCAGCATCCGGAGGTCATGTGACATTCAATTGACATTCGCTTCCTCTTTTATCATAATGGGCTATTATCGATCTATATTAGATATCACACGTGTCGTCTGCCGTGAAAGTGGGCTTCATAATAGGACGATTTTAGATCTAGAAACGTAAACTCGCTTTAGAAAAAAAAAACTCATGATGGGATCCAATCTGCTTTAATAGCGATGGTCGACATGACAGACAATAATGCTTTTTATTTGTACTTAAGCTCTTAATGACAAAAGAGTTAAGATCTATGACCGTGAACTCGCTTTAGAAATACATTCTTTAAATAGAATACAGGAAATGTATATGCTGCAATCTGTTGGTCGCCATTTCAATCTGTTGTTTATATCAAGAGATCAGATCTATGTTTAAGAAGTCACCTTTAAAATGGGTTTTATACATAAAATACATAAAATGAATATTCTGTTTCAATAGTGGTTGTCGCACTGGTAGACAGATAATTTTTTGTTTTTATTTTGAATCTCTTAACAGAATAATTATTGTGAAAACGCCTTTGAAAACATATATTATATAAAATACAGGTAATGTATCTGTTGCAATCTGTTTTAAACAGTGGTGTTTGCACTGGCAGACATTAAACAAAGAATCTGACTTACTTGACTCATTGATAAAAAGAATGAAAAACTAAAAATATGCTGATCTTTGTAAGAAGTCACAATTTTGGACAAATTCCAGCAGATTTGCGATTATCTGCCAGTAACTTTCAAATCATTGTTTGTCTTCATTAGATGTGAGCTTCGTGTGTGTGACAAAGTTATTAATAGGACGTTTTTTTATAGTAATGATCAATTTAATAATAAAAACACATATGTCCTGAATTTGTGTTTTACAGAACATACCGATTCTGAATTTATCTTTCTAAGATCAGTTAAATCTGCACACTAGCATCCTGTATGATACCAAACTTGAAAGGGTCGTCAGACAGTGCTATTTTATAGCTCGCCACCCCTGGCCTCGATCACACGTGGGAAAAATCATATTCCATCGAGGGAAACAAATGTTATATTTTTAGTTCATAGTTATGATAGTTGACAATCTGGCGGAAACTGTACCCAGGTCCACGTGAGAACGGTGTTGCTATTTGTTTTACTTTTCTACCGTTGTGGGCTCGCGTGGGGGTAATTCATATTTTTGTTCAATATTTCTCAACAATATATCCATACTGTACCCGTTTTCATGCATGTACAAACACACAAAATACAACCGTTATCGAAATCGAAAGCACTGCCCTTCAAAATATCCGAGGCCGTTTACTTGCACTATAGCAGTGTAGACAGTCGTAATTGTATATGGTTTTACGAATATTGATTTTCTTAACGACTGAGTGTAAATAATAGTGCAATGCGAACTTTTGGACTCGTGGTTTTACTATGTCAACAGTAAACGAAAAAAATACATCGGTTTGTAAATCAGAAGCTCCATAATTATATATATACCTCCTGCATGTACACACACGCGCTCATCTCACACACACATACAAAATGTATGATGAACGTATGTATGTATGAATATTTGTATATATACTTAGCTTTGTAGGTTGAAGTAGTTATTGTCCTATTTTTTTCGAAATGTAACTCGTTCCTTCGCCAGGTAGGTTACACAATTATATAGATGAATTATAAAGATATAATACTTGGCAGAAATGTATTTTCAAATCGTCTTTCTTATGTTTCTTAGTAGACGCAAATAAGTGGACATAAACGTACATAACTATACATATATAGGCCTACACACACTATATATATATACATTCACACATAATGTACATATACATACATTATTGGCAAGAGTACAAGTTGATATACACCACTATAGAAGCCGGTCCTCGTGGAAAATTCCACCACTCCTAACCAATATGCATTTACAATCGTATTCCCTTCGTTGGAAGCTACCTTCCAAAGGTGTGCGTGGATTGGCGTGTGCGCAGTGGCGTACGCAGGATTTTTTCAAGGGGGGGGTTTTGAAATCGCAACGACTCAGGAAAATTTGAAAATCGCGCCGGCCAAAAAGTCGCTCAGTGGGGGGGGGGGGGGGGGGGGGGGGGGGGGGGGGGGGGGGTAAGCGGACACTTTTTTTTTTTTTTTTTGGGAGTCCAAAAAAAAATCGCAACGACTTAGCCAGCCGAAAAGTCGCTCAGTGGGGGGGGGGGGGGGGGGGGGGGGGGGGGGGGGGGGGGGGGGGGGGGGGGTAAGAGGACACTTTTTTTTTTTGTCTCGAAATTTGAAAAATTGACATTTTGCTCCGTTGGGTGGGGGGTAAGGTCACCTTTCTTAGGTCAGCCATGGGGGTGATTTTTTTTTTTTTCTGATTTTTTTTTTTTAATAATTTAAAAAAAACAAAACAAAAAAAAAAAAATCCAAAGGGGGGGGGGGGGGTTTTAGGGATTTTTAGGGGATTTACACACATAAAAATACCAAAGGGGGGAGTTTAACCCCCAAACACCCCCCCCTGCGTACGCGCCTGCGTGTGCGTGTGTGTGTGAGGGGGGGGGGGGGGAGGGTAGACATATATATTTGGGTTGAAAGAATAAGATTTAGAATAGAGTACAATAAAGTGAAAGATTTTCTTTTTACCTGAATGTCTGAACGTCGCCACGGCGGATGGAGCTTGTAAACCAGGGGTGTAGACGTATGAAATTGGGGGTACAAGCCGGTGTTTTTTATTCCTTTTATTGACGGCGGGAACCACTCGATCGGAAGAATCGCTCCGGTTATGCTCGATCTATTGACTGGTATTCAATGCATCCAGGGCTACACCTTCCATCTCAAACACTCACCAAAAAATCCAGAGGTGATCTATATAAAGAACGAAAAATGAAGAACATTTAACGATAATATTTTACGTCTTCTATAGATGATACAACATTGAAGATAAAACGTTAAGTACGAAACATGCTCGGTGATCGTTGTTCCATAGTCAGTATCCTACACGATCCGAAATCTCAACGTCGGCTTTGGACCCAATATAACAGAACTACACACAACCCTACCTTGAACCTGGAACCAAATCGCATTCCTAACCCTGAATCTTTGTCAAATGAAGGCCGGAGGAATTGTCGCCGGAGGAATTATCGCCGGAGTTTGGAGAAGAAAAGACAGTCAAAAAAAGTGATAGGCTAGATGTCGTTGAAGGTTGTAGACAGACATGACAGTCAACAATATTTTCATTCATTTTCACTTCCTCTTCAACCCCACTATGGATCCTATTCCAAAAAAATACAACGATAGTGATATATTACCGGGAGACGAACTCCAATAAGCGATATCAAAAAGTCTGAAACGTGTACCTGAAGTCCATCCAAACATGTCCCGTGACGCTAGCCTTTAAGGTAACATAAAAACGCCACGAAATCCACAGTAAGCATAGAACGCTTGATATACAATAATCAAAACATTACCGTTTCCCAGCTCTCTTTTCCATGTGACTGAAAACAAATAATACCAACTACTGAACCAATCTTTTTGTTATTTATCCCCTGTCTGCCGAGCAATTTCACACTCTTTTATTGGACATTTGCCAGCTTTTGAAGCGCTTCTCTTTGTGTATTTGTTTAGTATTGTCTTGGTGCCCTACTATATAAAGCATTCTGCCACCTGTTCTTGCAAACCATGCACGTCAACTTCTCATTATTCTGCTTGATTAAGCTCTATTGCATGCATATCTCAAATGCAAGCTGAACAACCACACACATTAGTGACTTGCAAATCGGAACAAGTAGTTACAGTCACAGTGACATGTCCTTGACAAAATTGATACGATTACTATGATAAATCACACAAAAACCATTAGCGTTTGCGCTGTTAAATAACCTGAACAAATTCCTTACTAAAACGAGATATTTCTGTAATCATTATTCCCGCTTTCACTACATCGACATTCGAGATTTTCCTACATTTTAATCACAAGCTGAAAGGCACCATATTATTCAACATTCTGGTAGCATTTATTATGTGATGGATGTTGCACAATGGTTGCACCATCTCTGTTGTTTCTTTTCGGGAAAACTCGGCCAATTTCGGGAAATCACGTGCAAACTCGGGCAGGGTCGATAGCACTCAAGTGTGACATTTTAACACGTGGCTCTGTTACACAAAAAGTTTTGACCAATCAAAAGTCAGAACCATTGTAATTTTTCGAGTATGAGCCAATCAGATTCCACCTTTTGACGTGTCGTAAACCGACATCATTCATAATTCGCTGATGCTAAAAGCTCTTTACCGACGTCCAACCAATCAGAACCGCTCATTAGCAATCAAAAAATTATGGCGTTAATTTATTATGTTTTGTAATTGCGTCTTATCTCAACGTTTAATATAAAACCCCAGGTATAGAGATAGATTGTGACTAATTATTTATATATACTATATGAAATGTAACAGGGCTCCAGAATTGTGACAAACAAGTGTGTTGTCTTTGTATTCTTACTAGTGGATGATAATTTTAGCTGTTAAGTTTACACTACGTTAATTCGAAAAATCAATATAAAACACAAATGCAACTAGACTTTCGGGAAATCAACCTACGACAATTTCAAAGGCCTTGTACATCACCTTTTGAAATATGCAAGCATTACAATGAGGTATTACGTAATCTGAACATGATATCTATGGGACATACAATCGGGTATTGAAAATGCTAGTGAGTTGATTTTTCGAAAGTAGTTACGATCGTGTCCTAAATAGTCGATTCGTTATACAAACTGGGCAAGTCACGATGAAGAATTGAAAACTTCCTCCCTCTCTCTCACATGGTGCATCCGCAAGCCTACTGTATATCTACATCACCATGCAAGCCGATACTTACAAGCATCTAACGAAAGAAAGTAATCATTTATTTATTTGTTCGTGTTTTCTTTAAAAGGCAGGGTAGTCCAATTCAGAGCCGCGGAGGGCATGCTTTAAAAGTGAGCCCTGCAATGAATGCTAGTTAATATTTATGTAAGATATCTATATGAGATACGGATGCCTTCGTTATTCACATTTTCAATTTTCAAAGCAAACCCGCTAACCTTCAGCATAGCACTTAAGATGGCTGTATACCTTAATAAACTTCTTCTAAAAAGGCCTATAATACGTATAAACAGCTTCCGGGGAAGGTTCCTTTTCGGGACGGTGTACTTTTGTGGCGACCATATCCAAATGCCCTTCTCAGCTAGCCTAAACAGATTAACATCCGCCAATAATAGCTACTATAAACAGTCATATTTTGCCTGCCATTCAGGCTGGTATAATCCGATTTTGACGGTGAGCGCGTTGAATACAAGAGAGAGGAAGAAGGGCTAGATAGCCTGCAAGCATGTCGGGACGATATCCCAGCAGTAAGCCATTATTATAACTATACCGAAATCATAATCATATTGTAAGCATTTAATTGTAGATGGGTGACGTAGATTACACAGATGGCGATCGTGTTTTCAGCTTAAATTTCCTGCTTTATCGCCTTTAACTCGACTTGACCGCGGCGCTATGGCTTCCCAATGTGTTATCTACAGCTGACTTCCGAAGAAGTGAATATAAGAACATGGATTGACCTAGAAATATCATCTGTTAGAGGGTGCCGAACAGGTTCTAATTTTCTCCTTTTAGAATACCGACTTGGTAGCCTACTTTTCCATGCAATTGAGCCAAATTCCGGAAGGTGAATGCGGGGTATTAAGTAAAACACAATAAGTGAATTATACAGAGGTGAATACCTTGATTTCAGGGATCCTACTAGATATGTATTTAGATTAAATGCTGATTTTGATTAAGTTAGTTTGCCCAATACCTTGTATTTTTGGATAGTGACGCAAGTTGTCCAGGTTGCGAGTACACGAACGTCACAGAACCTAATCCCTGCAGATTCTGTTCGCGATATCGTGATATAGTTTACAAACGTGGTTTCGTGTCAAAAGAGGTACCAAAAAGGACAAGGAACCAAAAAAAAAAGGTAATTCTTAGCTTTGAATCAACTAGACTGCCTCCAAAAACCTTGTATCTATCTTTAGAAAAATGCCGCTCGACCCAACCGATCAACGTCAACAGTTTCCTTATCCGAGAGGACCCCTGATCGGTACCGGTTCCGCTGCGTGTACAACCGAAGAGAGATACACGTCTTGCGTTAATGCGCGATTTGCGTAATCAACGGCGAAGGACCTCTGGGGGATATCTTTCTAAGACACCCGAAAGGCACACATCTACACGTCTGTCAATTCAAAGGAGACTTCCGTCTTCAATTAGAAGTTTTGCTAGGGGTAATTGATTCGACATGACAAACCTGATATTCAGTCTGATGGTGAGAGCGGAGATTAATGTGTCTCTTGTTTCTTTTCGAATGGAACTTCGCTCTATTTGGCATGAAATGAGCCATGACATTTCTCTGAATTAGAATAGGGTTTTTAATTTGTCTGAATGTTTCCATGTCTGATGCTCGATTGTGGAGCAAGCAAATAAATCTTATTTTACCGGTTTGACATTATAAAACCATTGGTTCATTTCGTTTGAAAGACTTTATAATATTTGTGTTCTTTGGACAAATAATATGAATAAAGAAGCAATATTATATTGTGCAACTCTGTATCCCCCTGTCCGACAATACCGAAGAATGTAATGTAAAGTGACTGACAAATGCAGTCGTTTCGAAGTTAAGACGTAATGGAATAACAAAAATTTAAGAATAAGAAATTTAGAATAAGAATTTAGAAATAAGCTTCGTGAAACCACATGCTATGTCAGATATCTATCATGTATATTTCGTAATCGGTTCATTTAAAATGGGCAAAAATGTCTTATATTATTAAATAACCACATCATTTAAATTTAGTGAAGTATAATGTTAAGTATTTACTGCACTAAAAATAAACATAAGTCATGACCATCTCATGTTTCCATCTTTATGACAATGTCATCCTCCTGCTTGCTGATTGATGTGGAAATTTTGGCATCTCTAAAACCATTGTCTTTATCGAGAGTCATGAATACATCCGATGACGTCATACTGATACCACAAACGAGGCCAGGAACATATCCATGAGTGATACGTCCGAACCATGTTCTTTAACGAGAAACATTCGCGGCAAGAGTTGTATTTCTGCTTTGTTCTTTACAAGTTTAACCTTCACATTAAACGAAAAGACAGACAATAACTCATAAAGAAGAAAAAAAGTTTTAAATATTTTAAATAAAGCATTGTGATGTCCGAAGCTCAGATTGTAACGATTCGGTGTTAAAGATGTCAAATTGGTGAGCTGGGTAGCGTTTCACAAAACTTGTCATCAGCGACAAATGACATTCTTTGTTATAAGCTACAGAAATCCTTGTTTCTGATTGGTTATCAGCAGATTTGTCACTGATTTTTGTCATTTGTCATTGAAAAAGGCTTTGTGAAACGGACCCCTGGTGTTGATCATTGTAAGTGTTGATTGAAGGTAGGTGTTTCAAACCTCCATTAGAAAGCAGCATACAATAATACTCAAAATAAGACACTCAAGTTTTCAAGAAATTGCTTCTTACCGGGCACCTATTTACTACCCCCGGATGGAGAGCGGCGAATGTAGATTAATAATAATAATAATAATAATATTTAATTTTTATATAGCGCTTAATACAAATGTCTCTAAGCGCTTTACAAATATACTATTACCCCGGTCATTGGATTCAGTGCTTGCCCGCACACATATATCGTACCAAAGGACATTATTTCAAACGGCTGTTTGTATGTGTGTGTGTGTATGAGGGTGGGGGTGTCACTAGAGGGGATGGGGTGGACTCGTGACATACTCGTTTGAAATGGCGTCGCGATGCCCAAAACGATCATG